GTCCAGTTGTGACGCTCCTAGGCTCCTTCAGCGTCATAAAGGGACGCAAATAGCGTTCAACTGATTGCAATGTATTCCCATCTGCGGCGGTATTTGACGCTCAGGGAAGCACGGCATTCGTTTGTGTCGGCTGCCCTTAAAGGCAATGTGAGCGTCCATTCCCATTGGATAACGGAGAATTGTACACCCGGAAGTAAGTATTCCCCTTACTGTCGATTGATTTTACAGTGATATCTGCACTACTCATCGACTAAAAAACACCAGATTATCCTTGTTAATTACACAACATTGATTGGTTTAAATTGTGTGCAATGCTTTTGTATTTTTCCCCTTCGATTCGGAGAAACAAATATTTTTTCTGAGTAAAGGATGGCAGAAAACACTACACTACCCAGAATCCCCAGCTATCGTTTGGACTACACCATGTGCTCTGTTTGACAAACCCCGTGATAGTCCTCAAGCTCTGTGATTGGTGAGTGTGCTCCGAGGGTTACGCCGATTCTCGAACAGCACTTGAAATGGGATGGAACCACTTCAGACTGTCCAAAACTGGATTTGAACGGGTCCACCGCGTCCCCCCCTCCCCCACCCCGTCCCCAGAACTACACATGCTGGCTATTCTGTTTCGCAACATGCTCTCTATCTATGGCACGTCTCTACTGGGAGTTGTAGTTTTAAAAGACGTTTTCGTATTTCCCATAATAAGAAGTTGCCAGTATTAAACTGTGTACATCCCTGGAGGTTTAGGGGATAGGAAACACTCAAATGTAAAACATATAATTAATAAATGGGTGAAAATTGCTTGTGCCCATAATGGGCAGCATTAATATATATATATACACACATGCCAGCTAAGGTCAGAAGAGCTTTATTTAACAGCTGGTCTTATGTTTTTGACCCCTCCTGTTGTTAATAGATAACATTACATTACATTACATTAATTGATAAGCCTGAAACATGCACTTGTCAAGGTTCAGAGGCAAATTTTGCAAATATGGCAGTAGCCATCGATCAGCTTAAGATAAGATATAATTTATTGATCCCAGGTTGGAAACATTTGCGTTACATCAGCATGTGTTACAGTTGTACATTATGCAGTGGTGTTTATTTGTAAATCATTTAGTATAATCACACAAATTCTGTGTTTTATATTGAACAATTCTGTGTTCTTTATGTATTGATTGTTCAATACCTGACAAGGCCGGAGATGAAATATCTACATACATCTTATAAGAGTATAATACATGATGTATAATATCTAGGGCCGGGACTCGATTAAAAAAATTAATCTAATTAATTAGAGGCTTTGTAATTAATTAATCGAAATTAATCGCATTTTTAATCGCATATACATATTTGACCTAAGAACAGTGAGAAGCAATTTTTTTTCACATGGATTTTAGTATACCATTAGGCGCATTCACACCGCAGTACTTTTCCCACAAAGGTTCATGAGAATTTAGTTCATGAGAACTCTTTGAACCTGGGGGTGGATTAGGCAAATGAAGCGGCTGACGTCACTTCTTCTTCTTCTTCTGCTTTGGGTTTACTGGCAGGCCGCAAACCACTTCACGGCGTATACTGCCGCCCAAAGTCCCCGGCCGGAAGTCCCCGGAGTTGGGGACTGGCTTCAGTAGAAGCTGCTGGGAGTCCCAGCAGCCTTCCGAGTAAATCGCCAGAACGCCAACACCTCCTCATCTCCACCGCTCCCATGTTTTATTTTGTGTTGCCATAAGTTAGTCTCTCTGCGTTTCTGCGCTGGGCTAATGCTAATAATGCTAATGCGAGGATAATGAAATGGCGGCTTCACAAAACTTTTTGGGAGTTTTACGGGGCGTGGTTTGCAATCCGCCCAGCCAATCAGAAATATAGCTCTTTTCTCACAAGAGAGCCGTACGAAAGTCCCTGCTCTCTAGCAGCTCTCTGCTCTCTAGCAGGGACTTTCGTGGGGGTAAAAAGGTTCTCATGAACTAATTTTAGTACCGGCTCTTTTTTGTGTGAACGCGATAAAAGAGGCTAACGTCCACGCTAGCTGCTATATGTTTTGCATTGAGGTGATACTTGAGGCTTGATGTGCTGCGGTGATATGCGAATTCCTTTTTGCATAATTTGCACACAACCGTGCTCTTATCGACGCTTCCATCCGTCCGTTTTTTAAAACAACATTTCCCACTGTTGTTCACTGTGGTTTGTTGTTGTCTGAAGTCATGAACGTTAGTTGGTGCTCCAGTATAATCGGTACGCCTGAAACTCATCCAGTGAGAAACGTTCCGCGGTGCAAAAATAAGTGCGATTAAAATGCGTTAATTTTTTTAACGCGTTAATTTTTGTGTAATTAATTAATCTTAATTAACGCGTTAAAGTCCCGGCCCTAATAATATCAGTTAAAATAAGTGCTTCAACATAGTTAACATTGCTGGAGGTATGCACAAATATTGATAGATGTCTTGTAATGCGCTATTGAGGAACCTGCGACCCAAGTTTTTCATTCAATGAAGAACTACACCATAGTTGTGTAGGCCTATATGATATGTCAATAAACCTTAGAAAATCTTGAAATCTTGAAAGGGATGTGCAAAATAGTAATTATATACAGTCTTTAGTGAACTATTAGTAGAGAATAACGAGTAATGAATATACTTTATAGGGATCCTATTAATATCTAATAATAAAAAAAGTCCTTTATACCAATAAAGGACTGGATTACCTAAAGCCAGTTGAGTAGCACTTGAAATGTTTGGCTCTATGAAACCTGATATACTTATATGATTCTGTTTTCTTCAAGGTTGTGTCTTCCTGGTCGAATGTACTTATTGTAAGTCGCTTTGGACAAAAGCGTCAGCTAAATGCAATGTAATGTAAAAATAATGAAATTCAATAACATGCTTTAACCACTAGGTGTCCCTTTATATCAGCTGTGCACCTTTATGGTGTAAATACAGCCTATCTACCAATTGGATCAAATATAAAAGTCAGCCGAATTAGTGTTGATACTGCAAGGAGACGTATTGTGTGAAAAGAAATGTAAGATGTTGTTTAATTGCTGATATATTTATGACCCACGTCACGTTTTCAGTTCCTCATGTTTGTCTAGAAGTCTTCTCATCAGGGCTCTATAAATACAGAACTACGGCAGATATGTAATATTTAATGCAGCCGAACCGTGTATTACAATGCCGTTATGTGATGAATTTCAAAGAGAAAATCAAGCACACTCGGAATAAAGTATTTTTTTTTTTTTTTTAAATGTTTTCGGTCTGTTTCCGGTATTTGTTAATGACGATGTGCTGTGAGATGTGAGATTGGAATTGCACAGGGGGAAATAACGTATCTTTAGATGCGGATTTTGTTAAACTAATATGTTTGCGCTGTGGATCAACACTATACATTGACGGGGAAGGGGGTAGCAATAAAGATAACACCATTAAACAGTTACACAACATAACAGAAATAATATCGATAGCAGCGTCCCTAGCAACCACCTTGGTAACAATGAAAACGTCGCGATTTCCTGAAGTAATCTTCGTAATAATTAGCAAACTAAAGATCATGTACATCCACTGCACACATAATCTGAAATAACAACTCATATTTCTCGCATCAAATGACATCAAAACGCATTTTAATGGCCAAACTAACTTTAAAATAGGCATTTTCCACCGAGAATACAACGAAGTTCAGCCATGTTTTATTTTTCTGCAGGGAGAAATTTGAAGATCACGTGACATAGACGCCAGCCATTGGAATGAATGGTGAAAAAAAACGGGTTTGTCAAACAGAGCACATGGTGTAGTCCAAACGATAGCTGGGGATTCTGGGTAGTGTAGTGTCTTCTGCCATCCTTTACTCCGAAAAAATATTTGTTTCTCCGAATCGAAGGGGAAAAATACAAAAGCATTGCACACAATTTAAACCAATCAATGTTGTGTAATTAACAAGGATAATCTGGTGTTTTTTAGTCGATGAGTAGTGCAGATATCACTGTAAACTCAATCGACAGTAAGGGGAATACTTACTTCCGGGTGTACAATTCTCCGTTATCCAATGGGAATGGACGCTCACATTGCCTTTAAGGGCAGCCGACACAAACGAATGCCGTGCTTCCATGAGCGTCAAATCCCGCCGCAGATGGGAATACATTGCAATCAGTTGAAAGCTATTTGCGTCACTTTATGACGCTGAAGGAGCCTAGGAGCGTCACAACTGGACGCCACGGACACTGACCAAACGTCGTTATTGGACGCTTAGGGAGTGAGAGTGTGTTGCATAAACACGTCGGATAGTGAAAGTGCATTCGGATTCTCTAAAGTACCGCGGTCTCTTCTCCTAAGTCCTTTTGAATTCTCCTATCCACTATCCCTTAACCCCGTGACGTTTCACTCAGAGGTCAAGGAATAGGAGATAAGGTTAGAATTTAGGAGCTGATTTTTGGATTATCGGAACGTAACCTAGGCTTGTTTGAGACAAGCGAGACCTGCGCAGTTGCGATCAACGTCTTGCTAATGCGTTGCATGATGGTTACGGCCGTCCACACAGCAGCGTTAAAAAAATCTTGAAAATCTTGGAGGTGGGCGTGTCTGAAATCGTGGGGATTTTTTGCGACCAACAACCAATCACATGAATCTCCCGCCCCCGACATACAAAGCAATGTTAAAACTAAGTAAACTGGATATAAAATCCCCAAACAGGCGAAATCTATGGAATGCCATTTAAGCCAAAATTAAATAAATACATACATAATTTAATAAATACATATATATAAATATGCCTATGAAATAAATTATGAAATAAATAAATGAGGCAATAAATATGTATACATGTACATTTAAATACACATTTATTTATTTCATGGGACTTTTATTTCATAATGACACATTTATTTATTTCAAGAGACTTTTATTTCATAATGACATATTTATTTATTTCAAGAGACTCGTATTTCATAATGACATATTTATTTATTTCAGGTGACTTGTATTTCATGATGAGACATTTCCATTCCTTATATGCAAATGAACGGGGCGTGGTTAGCTCACAGATCCAGAGACCCAGACCAAAGCAACAGCACCACACTGACTACTCGAGAAGAGGAAGAAAATGGAGAATGCAAAAGAAGGCAAACTTCTAAATTCTCAGTCAGACATCGCATGTAATCTGATATTCTAAATTTCACCCGCCAGAAATGTTCGCTTCGGTGTAAATTGTCCGTTGGCAAACCAGTTGACTTCTTCTTCTCTCGGTTTTTTGGCGGATTGCAAACAACTTTAAGGTGCATACCGCCACCTACTGTACATGAGTGTGAATCATCATATCATTCCATCTCTTAACTCATGGACGTATCTATGATCTAATCCAAAAATAAATAAATAAAAAACATAATAAATAAAACAAAACAACTATCTATGATCTTTCCTGACCTAATGTTAGATAATTGTACCTACCCCAGTTTCACTAAAGGTAAACAGTGCCTTTCTGGTAGCTCTTTCTCCCTCTCCTTTTGTTCCCAAAATACCAACCACACTCCATTCCCTCTCTGCCTCTAAAACGTTATCCTTTAGTTTTTCTCTTTCAGCTTTATAGATGTTCCACATTTTCTTTAACTCCACAGTTCCTACACTTGTCACTGTTACTTTTCCCCATGACATGCAGCGTACCATTCAATGCTGTGTGATTTATTCTAAGTCTAGCTATCATCATTTCCTCCCTTCTGTTTCTTTCTTTATAAATATTTGTCTGCTGGCATACCAGCAGACCAGCATTTATCTATCACCAGCTTATGTTAGTATTAAATATACAATGTATTCTGGTAACTATCAAGATAAAGACATTGTATAGTGTTCATAACAGTATTTGTATTTAATAAATTATACTTAATACAATAATATTACAAAAAAAACCTACATCTAAATAAATATATCATCTAAAATAGATGCATTTGATTTAAAAACAAATATAATTCAAAATGTAAACAGCAACAAAGAAATTATAAACATTTTTTTTCTTTTTCTTGTTAATATCCATTATCTTCTCTGTTATGTATCTTCCGGTCTTTGCCAATCTGGCCAGCATTTCTTGGTCCTCCACGTCTTCCTCGTACAGCCACTGCTTGAAGCAAACTGAAAATAAGAAACAACAATGTTTTAACAAATCGTATTCAATTATGTGATGATAGAACTGCAAACAGAATAGCTGTAACTTTAACAAAATAAATAACTCAGTTACCTCTAATCATTAACCCATGTTTGTATCATTGAGTTAACTCTGTGTGTTGCTGCTAGCATACATAATATATACCTGACGTGGAAACGTTACTCGTGGATGGGGCTACAGAGCTACTAGAAAGACAGTCGAACCCGGTGCATTCCTCCGTCTGAATGTGGAGCACTTTTGCTAAATGTTTAGACAAATAGCTCGTGTTACCGCCCTTACATGCTAAACTCTTATTCCACTTTTGGCAACAAGCATTTTCCACCTCAAGACCAAGCCCCCAGGAAGTGCGCCGGACTCTGAGGAAACGGCGGTACTACAATTTCCTTATCAGTCTGTGATGTCGACCGGCCCAGAAATACTTTTTCCCATAGACTAACATGGGGAAAGAGACGTCTGTAAATCGGTGGATAATTTTTTTGAAACTAAATAAACTACCCAGTATGAACTATTGTATAGCCCTAGAATCATTAAGTCCTTAAAGTTGTAAAATGCACTAAAAGCCGAATCTAGATTTATTCTCTCTCTCCATTCTTTCTAGTGAGCCGAAAGTGTGTGCTCGGGGGGCGGGGCTAAGGGGTGCATGCTCTGTGAGCGCACAAACGGGTTCTTCTGCTCTGACAGCCAGGCATGACGGGTAATCTGTGACGTTTCGCTCTCTCAAAAGTTGGGCCATTTTGACTTCATGCGCCAATGAGCAGCTCTCATAGGAAAGAACGAGGCCCCTCCTCCGACGCTGTATCCAGTTCTTATTATACATCCATGCTCAAGACGGGTAACACAACTACCCTCGGGGCGCTTAGTTCTCTCCGCCATGTGTTTGTGTGCGTGCGTGTGTGTGTGTGTGTGTGTTGCATGCATGTAGCAAGTTCTGTGTGTAAACTGCCCCACCCCCTCGCACACCGACAGGGGAGAGAGATCTCTCGTCTGGATTGGAAAGATCGAAAATAAATCAGACGCACTTTGTAGTCTTATTGCATATTAGAAACGGAGTTGGCGACAGTAAGACTGCGACATAATGTTTATGTAGATATAATACATATGACATCTATTTTTTAAATGTCTCCAGTACCGATAAAAAGATCGATAACGTTGGACGTTAACGGTACCACGGTCTTTAATAATTCAGCCCCGGGGCCCCGTTAATACTGGGGCTCGGTACCCATCCCTAGTTTTAATTATTACATCATCAATATTACATTTCAAATAACCAAGTACATTGGTGTCTCACAAAGCGCAAGTGGCTAATGCTGCTAAGAACATACCTGGTGATGGTGATGATGGTGGCTCTTCGCTGCAGGATCTGGTCGATGTCCTCCTAGTAGAAGCGATTGCCTTCGTCGTTCTCGTCCATGATGGCGGCGTAGGCTCCTTTCCTCAGCAGGTCCTCGATCTCCTTCTTGGAGAACTGCTGGACCGGCTAAAGGCGACGCAGAGAGACATTTACACAAGTGGATTTAGAAAACTCTTTTCGAAAATAAACTAAGCGTACTGCAACAGCGACTGACCCAAAAATGACTTGGCATCTAGAAATATGACAGATTTTCTTTTTCTCACCCCGTTGTTGTTGCCTTCTTTGTTCCCACTCATGCTCTGCAGGACGGCACGGTCCAGCCCGAGCTTCAGACTAGCTTTATCCAGCATTTCCCTCTCATAGTTTCTAGTGATCAGACGGTACACCTTCACCACCTTAGGCTGGCCAAAACGATGACACCGAGCTTGAGCCTGAAATAAAAAATTAAAAGAGGGGTCAAAAGAGCATCATGTGCAGCTGCTGTTCAACGTTTTTAAGCATTAAATGGGAAAATAATATACACTTAAAGAACCGAGGGAATAAACGGAAAGACTGTAGTTGTTGTTGTTGTTGTTGTAGCCCTATTGAACTATCTTTAGGACAGACAGAGCAGATATATATATCGTACCTGCAGGTCATTTTCAGGGTTCCAGTCAGAGTGGAATATCACACAGGTGTCCGCAGCAGTGAGATTCACAAGTTCTTGATCAGGTGTTTGATGTGGGCTGGCATGATCCTTTCTGCAGCGATAAATAATTAAAACAAAGAAGACATTATTACATTACATTACATTGCATTTAGCTGACGCTTTTATCCAAAGCGACTTACAATAAGTGCGTTCGTCCAACAAAATACAACTTGAAGAAAACAGAATCATATAAGTACATCAGGTTCATAGAGCAAAAACATTTCAAGTGCTACTCAACTGGCTTTAGAAAAGCCAGTCCTTTATTAGTATAAAAGTGCTTCGTTAATAGTTCTATCGCTCGAAGTGGAGTCGAAAGAGATGAGTTTTCAGTTTGCGCCGGAAGATGTGCAAGCTATCTGCCGTCCTGATGTCAATGGGGAGCTCATTCCACCATCCTGGAGCCAGGACAGCAAACCCACGTGTTTTCACCGTTGGGAACTTGGGTCCCCCTCGCAGCGAGGGCGCAGCGAGTCGTTTGGCTGATGCAGAGCGTAGTGCACGCGCTGGGGTGTACGGTTTAACCATGTCCTGGATGTACGAAGGGCCAGATCCATTCGCAGCATGGTAAGCAAGTACCAGTGTCTTGAAGTGGATTCTAGCAGTTACCGGAAGCCAGTGAAGCGAGCGTAGGAGCGGAGTAGTGTGGGAAAATGTAGGAAGGTTGAAGACCAGACGAGCCGCTGCATTCTGGATGAGCTGCAGAGGTCGGATGGCACATGCAGGTAGACCAGCCAGGAGGGAGTTGCAGTAGTCTAGGCGTGAGATGACGAGAGCCTGGACCAGAACCTGAGTCGCTTTCTGTGTCAGCTGGGGACGTATCTTCCTGATGTTGTAAAGCGTGTATCTGCAGCAACGGGTTGTAGCAGCGATGTTTGCAGTGAAGGACAGGTTGTTATCTAGGGTCACACCCAGATTCCTTGCAGTCTGAGTCGGGGAAACAACTGAGGTGCCGATGTTGATTGTTAGGTCAAGAGTGGGACAATCTTTTCCCGGAAGGAAGAGCAGCTCAGTCTTGTCAAGGTTGAGTTTGAGGTGATGAGCAGACATCCACTGAGAGATGTCAGCTAGACAAGCAGAGATGCGTGCGACGACCTGGGTCTCTGAGCGGGGAAAGGACAGAATTAATTGGGTGTCATCAGCGTAGCAGTGGTAAGAAAAACCATGCGGGCTAATGACTGATCCGAGCGAGTTTGTGTACAGGGAGAAGAGGAGGGGACCAAGAACAGAGCCCTGAGGGACCCCCGTAGTTAATTGACAAGGGTCGGACTCAGACCCTCTCCAAGTCACCCTGTAGGTACGGTCTTTCAGATATGAGGTGAGGAGGGAAAGTGCAGAGCCTGAAACTCCAAGTTTTTGGAGAGTGCGAAGGAGGATCTGATGATTCACCGTGTCGAATGCAGCAGACAGGTCCAACAGGATTATTCTATTATTAATAATAGTAATGATGGTAACAACAATAATATTAGTATAACTATTTATATAGCACTTACACAATAATTGCAAAGTGATTCTCACAACAAAAATAAAGAACAAAACAATATCAACAATAAAAAAAGTAATTATTATAGGAATGTTAAGATACAAATAAATGATAAACATTCTAAGAGGCCGACTACAAAAGGTAGACTCAATGGCTCTTGATGACATCAATGAGCAGTCCCAAAACATGCTGCTGTATCAAAAGAAATATGTCCAGATTTCTTCTATTTAGTGTTGGATCATGTGTTGTATTGATTGCTGATGGATGTTAAGATATGTTTTACAATTATAACAAAAATATTATTGTAATTGGAATCAAAAAGTTTACAAATCATAGTTTTAATAAAATGACTAGCAATATAGGATTTATTCAACAGCGGTAAAGCATTAAGTTGCTAATTGAACGTACACTGAACTGTAAAACTTACCACTATTTAGGAAAGGACCTGATCAGAAGGATTGACTAGTAAGACAGCAAAGAGGTGGAGGAGGTCTCTGTCATGTACAACCATTGGTAGATGTTACACCTGAAAGAAAGATAAGGAAATAAGACAACACAGGAGGACAAACATCTTCTTAAGTAAAAGACGAAATCATGTCAAGCTTTACATCTTTCAGTCTTTACAATGCACTGTTGGAAATTACATTCCAAAAGCTAAATTCAAACTCAATACCATAAATAACTGGGTACCAAAGTGCTTTACCTGATAGAACACATTCCACACGGAGCAGCAACCATCCGGCTGGGCCTTTTGCTGCATATCATCTCCTCCCTCTCCACTGTTTCCATAGATATCTACTGCCTCTGTCGAATAAAACTGAAATGCCCCAAAACAATCATATTTAAAAAGTTAAAAACAATAACTTGCTTTTGGCATTCAAATGTATTAGAATCTCACCTTTTTCCTGGATGTCAGGAAGGCCAGGAAGTCGTTCCCTTCAAGTCCGCAACCAGTCATAGGAGTTCAAATGCAAAGCCTGAATGATGACAAGAGCGGGACTTACATTTTACAAGATAAGTAATACCAGAGCAGTGTTTAGGACATGCAGGGAACAGATCAAATCCCCTGACAGACTCCCACACCTTGGTGATGTCCTCATCTGATAATGATGTTTCATTTTTAGCAGCAAAGTAACATTACTCAAGGTATATGTTGGACCCAACTCATGTACAGTATGTTTTGCATCTCCTCAACAATGGTCTGTATAGTTGAGTAGAAACAAACTGTCCCTACAGTTTCAGGTAGATTAACAAAGAAAAGTTTGCAATGAAGCACAAAACCCCTCTTTGCATTAAGCTAGCTGCCACAGAAAGTACAGCTTAACATGCTAACCTGGTAGAGTTAGCTAACGTTAGCTAACTTCATGTCCAACTAAAAACCTCTAACGTGCATTACATTGACGATTTTAAACACAACTTAACTCTCTCAACTTGTAAAATAACATTAATTTAACATACCCTTAAATAACTACATCACGTTTTTCAGGGGCAACACAAACTGCAGAAAACGTTAGCTGCTAACTGTTCTTAGCTAAGACAGCTAGCTCGTAACAATAGCCTCCTAGCCAACGTAAGGTTACGTTAACATTAACTTAACGTTGAAAGAAAGCAAAACGAACCTTCGAGAAATATTTTACTCTCAGACTGGGTGTAATTGTGTAGCGTTGCTTACCTCCAGAAGGACTTTTAGCTGTTTCCCAGTAGAGACTAGAGAGAGCTGTCAGAGCGGTTGCTCCCAGATAAGACCAGATAAGACCAGAGAAGAACCAGTTAAGCACCAGAAAAGCACAAGAATGGATCTTGAACTGGTTTGGTTTATTGGCAGTTTGCAAACCACTTAAGAGTACTGGAGTGTGAAACAAAAGCTATTGAGTCAGTGTTGTGGTGCTGTTGCTTTGGTCTGGATCTGTGAGCTAACCACGCCCCGTTCATTTGCATATAAGGAATGGAAATGTCTCATCATGAAATACAAGTCACTGTGAAATAAATACATGCGTCATTATGAAATACAAGTCATCTGAAATAAATAAATATGTCATTATGAAATACGAGTCTCTTGAAATAAATAAATGTGTCATTATGAAATAAAAGTCTCTTGAAATAAATAAATGTGTCATTATGAAATAAAAATCCCTTGAAATAAATAAATGTGTATTTAAATGTACATGTATAGGCTACATATTTATTGCCTCATTTATTTATTTCAGAATTTATTTCATAGGCATATTTATATATATATGTATTTATTTAATTATGTATGTATTTATTCATTTATTTAATTTTGGCTTAAATGGCATTCCATAAAAACCTACCAGTTTCACTGGACATTTCCGGCGTGTTCATTTTCTGTATAAACCTTAAAGCCCCCTGAGACAAGGGGCTGCCCACAGTATTGCGTAATATGAGCATGTATATTAAATGTATATTAAAAATAAAGTAAAACATAATTAAAATAAAGAATAATAATTATCGAAAAATAATAATAATAGAAATAGATTTTAAAAAATCAATAAACAATGAGTCTTTGGGGCTGCCAGCCTTACAGGGACGACACCTTCGGAGGACCGCCCCCCTTCCGTGAGGAGGGGCTGCCGGGGGACTTAAATAAAATATAAATTATAACAAAAAATTATAATAAATACAATTATAATAAATAATAATAATAAATGAAATAAATTCACACAAAATTATAATAAAGAAGTGACAAGTAAAAATACAATGAATAAATAAATAAAATGTCAATACATAAACAATGAATAATTAAATAATCATTCATATTGATAAAATATTAATAATATTTAAATACATAATATTAAAAACAATAATAATAAAATAATACAAAAACGAAAACAATACAATTATAATTATAAGAATTAAAATAATAAAATAAAATGATAAGGAAATTAATAAAATAATACATAATATAATCATATAAACTAACTTGGAAAACAAGATATTAAGATATTTAATATGATTTTTTTTAACTAAACATAAAAACATAAAGAAATGAAAATAAGAATGAAGTACAATTTAAAAAAAATCCTTGATGGAAAAGCTTTTATACCTTAAACAGATGTTATCAGGGTAGTAAACCCACCAGGGGAAGTGTTTATTTTTCGTTGAACATGCTTCAGACTGGTTAAGACCGCCTACCTCATTACGAACACAGAAATACATGTAGGTGAACGTAAATGTAGAAATGTATTAAAGATTTATAATAATGTGTGTTAGGTTTTATTCTCAACTTGTATGTATTTATCCATACATTCATTTATTTGTTTCCATATTTATTTATTCCTGTATTTATTTCCACATTTATTTATTCGTCTATTTTCTTATTCCTGTATTTATTGCCGTATTTATTTATTTATTCATGTTTTTATTTATTATTTATATTTATTTATGCATATATTTATTTATACTTAGTTACGTCCTCCATATATGGGGGGATCGGGATCCTCCCCCAGAATATTTATAAGTTATACTTTTAAAAAGCGGTGGGGACCAAATTGGCCATTTCTATGCACATGATAATACCCTAATATGTATTGTATTGCACCCTCTTCTGGAATTCAAATAGTATGGCACTAGGAAATCATAAAAGGGCAGTAATTGAGCTCCAGCTTCTGTTACATTAACCTGCTATTTCCCTATAGACACCTTAACAGCACGTTTATTTAGAGCAGGGGTGTCAAACTTAAGGCCCGGGGGCCAAATCCGGCCCGTGACTTAATTTCATGCGGCCCCACAAGAGCTTGCAAAGAATATTGTATGTTTATTATACGGTTACATGCCGATTTACAGAACCACGTTGCCCATAAACTACATGTCTCACGATGCATCTCATGCCTTTTTCTCAGAATTTACCTTTTTTTTCAAAATGTTACTTTTCCCCCCCAAAATGTCACTTCTTTTTTTTTATTTAGACTTTTTTTTTCTCCAGAATTTGGCTTTTCTTTTTAAATCATTTTGTGACGTGCACACTGAAGAGACTTGCAGGTATTTGCCCTAGACTTCTGCTTTCAGACGTAGTTAATTATGAAGTTATTATTACCCTATCCGATAATAATCCAATGCAGAGGCAATAATATAATATAATACATTATTTTATATATATTAAATAATGATATAAGTATTTTTATATAGTCTTAAACACCCCTGGCTTAGTGCATTCTTGTGCAAGTAATTTTACAATCTATCATTTCCATCTACAATTACAGAAATGCTACATTAAATTCAGAACACAATATAATATAACATACTAAACGTGAAGCTATTCATATCAATTCGAATTTCACAAAAGGCCTTTTTATGCAGTTATAACAGTGGAGCTCTCTGATAAAACCGTTTTTAATCAGTTAAGAAGAGTACAGTATACAGAAATATATCTAAAATTAAATAGACACAGGTTAATATACATTAAATCAAACGAAGAGATTACAAATACATTGAAAAACAACTAAATGAAATAAATATTCATAATATAAACTGTCTGATTATTTGTTCTTCTTTTTTCCTCTTGTTGGTGAGCCGTCGCTCCTTTGATGACGTCCTTCCTGTTTCATCGTAACAACACGTGTGCGGTGTTCAGTGTCGAGCTGCAGGGAATAACAGCAACTAAAACTCAGCTTTCAAACACCGTTGTGTTTTCTTTTCATTTTATTTTCGGTGTAGGCTTTGCCGACTAAACCGTCAACATGGTGAAGCCCGGATTCAAGGGGAAAAGCTCCATAAACACCTCGACGTCCAGCAGCAACCCTGGTGAGTTTGTTTACAGCTAATGCTAATTGCTGCTAGCTGGGTGAAATAATGCTCTTTAAAATACACACAAAACGGGTAGTATCCTTTTTTTTAAAGTAGTCGCTGATATTTAGAGTACAATGAGTCAAATGTAAACGCATAATTCATGTTGTCTGAAAGATAACTTGCTATAGAAACGAGTCACCAGTTAACGTGAGGCCTTTTAAATGTGATACTGGATTATTTCACTTCAGTGGGGTTTGTGTCAAGTGGACTTGAAAAAGCTGCTATTATTAACTCATGTATTATTAGTTAATTCCACTCATGTTGATTATTATGAAACTACACACGTACACTTCATACAACAACACATGCACACTTTAAGCAGTTGTGTAGCCCATGATGGAAAGGAGCATGGAGAAGACATATTATTTGACCTGCCCCTTATTCAAAGATGATAAATAAAAATAAAAATCAATGGTAGGTCACAGCTGCTTCAAATACTCCAAACCAAAATCACAATAAAAAGTCAACACAACAATCTACCATCAGCCAAACAGGTTACCTGGCATCTTCATAATGTCAAATGATTCTTTCTTTTATCATTTTCTTAAACCTAAACATGTTCCTACAGCCCTTTTTTAAATCATATGGTAAAGCATGACACAGCTTAACGTTAACTACAGAGATATACATCTGCGTTAAAGTAGTCCGTGCAAACTCATTCTTAAAGGTACATTTCCTTCTATGCTGCTCATGAAATGGTCTAGCCATAAGATGTATTCACAACAGAGGTGGGAGAAGTACTCAGATCATGTACTAAAGTAGAAGTACTGTCCTGAGTGTAGGAATACTCTGTTACAAGTGCTGCAATCAAAATGTTACTCTAGTAAAAGTAGAAAAATGTTAGCATCAAAATATACTTAAAGCACCACAATTGTACAGATTGGCCAGTTTCAGAATAATATAATGTATGTTTTGATTATAATTATTGATGCATTAAAGTGTTATTAAAGGTGCAGCTAGTTTGAATGACTTAGTATACTGCAGGGTAGAATTGACTCCAGGTGGAACTAAAGTCCTATTTGAAGGTTGATTATAATTCACATAATTAACTTAAATCTGTAGTAACTAAAGATATTAAATAAATGTAGTGTCAAAGTACACGATTCACTTCTGAATTGTAGTTGGGTAGAAGTACAAAGTAGCAAAACATTTAAATACCCAAGCCAAGTCCCTCAAAAATTGTACTAAAACAGTACTTGAGTAAATCAACTTAGTTACTTTACATCACTGCGTCCCAAATATCTCTGGCGTACATAAATAGATTGAATGTTTTTGTTGTTGAATAGATCTCTCTAACTCTACATGTATTCCACAGATCGAGTCAAAGGGGCTGGAGGCAACAACATGAGGGACCGAGCCACCATCAAACGTCTGAATATGTACAGGCAGAAGAAACGATGGTAATCACTTGTGCATTATTCTTGTGAGATGTTTATAGGCAGATTGTGTAAGTGCCAGATACATAACAATAATATTCCCACTGACAATGATGTTCTGTTCCCAGTAATGACCGTGGACAAGTCATCCGACCTCTATCGTACCAGTCCACAGTGGCTCCAGGCACTGTGGCCAGAGTGGAACCGAACATCAAATGGTTTAGTAAGTTCACACTCTCAACTGTTGTGTATTGTGTCGTATGTTACAGCAGTATTCTCTTTGCCATTTGTCAGTATATTGTATTTGCTCCGTCTGGCTTTGTGGATAACTCAAAGTTTCTCTTCGGTGCATTTCCATATTTTGACTTTGGCTTCATATCATCCAATGTTTCTAAAAGTGATTAATAATAACATAAATGTTAGTGTTACGAGGCTCCCAACTAGTTGCTATAGCACTATAAGCTTGATGAGATTTCTATTAATCATTTTACAGAAAGATGGATTCTGTAAAGTGTTGGTAGCCTCTCTTCCATTGCACTTCCAGCGACTCGTCGATTTCTTTATAGTGACAGCCAAGCTAAAAGCTAGCGGTGCTGTGTCAGAGTTTATGTTCCTTTCCACCAGTGTTTTTGAGCTGTGCTTAGGCAGCTGACGGCTGCTTCAAACCCAGACCTAATTATCCTTTCAATGTGATGTTCTTGTAACGGATCACTTATTTGAAAACGTTAAATACCTTGTAAATCTCATCAGTGATTGTGAAGAGAAAATTCAAATCTGTTTCTTATTTCAGCAAATA